CACCCGAACATCGTGAAACTTCTCGGAGTATGTTTGGAGGGCCCGAAAGAATATCTGATTCTTGAGCTTATGGAGGGAGGCGATTTGCTGAACTTTTTAAGAACAAGGTTTGCATCAACATTTTCATATATTTGCTTAGGATTTTGATTGAAAATTCTCAGTTTATCAAGCAAGTCACACGGTTGAGGCAACAGCAACTATACAAAGATTTTCTGAATTTACTAGTTGCAGACAATCTGTGACAGCAGAAATGAGATGAAGAAGAAAGTCTTACGCATGGCCTTTTATATTTTAAAGAGGATGTGCTACTACTTGAGTGATACGAGAAATTTTGACTGCTAAAAAGTTCTTGTCTAGCAATAGAATGGTTCACTTCAACACTACATAAAGCAATATCTCAAATTGTTCGTTTACTAGCTAACTTCGAAATTGGCATCTCAGTAGAGATGAATATGCAACTGGTAGCTTAAATACAATAATTAATACATAAAATTCGGTAGAACATAATTAAATTTTTCAACAATTTCTTTCCCGCACTCATCTCGTAGATGAAGTGCTTTTTGAAAGCATCGAACAGGTGCTGTCTCTGCTGAAACTGCCATTTTGAGCCTAAGATGGAGCAATTGTAACAATGTGAAATGCTATGCCATTTAATATTCGACAGCAAATATATATTTTAAGCGGAGCTAAAATACTCAACTCAATGTCAAAGTTCGTATCATTAAGTTCTAAAGAGCAACAACTATCAATTTATCTCCAATTTGTATGTAATTTAAAGCATGAGTGGTTTTTTTAGCGTACAATTCACGGAAGCTCTAACATTACTGAGCGGAAAGGTCGAGCAATTTGAAGTTCGACTAGGGCTAATTTCTGTAAACTTATGCAATAACTTTCCCCCTAGGGCAAATGCGCACCTTGGAAAATAACGAAAGGAGAGATTGTTAGAGTGTCCTTTGTGACCACATATTATCACACTAATTTAAGCTCACCCACTGAGTCGTTTCCGTCACAACTGTCGCTTCGTGATGTACTCTCAATGCTCGTTGATATCGGAAGAGGTGGTGCCTACCTGGAGTCAAACCGCCACGTTCATCGTGATCTTGCTGCAAGGAACTGTTTGATCAGCTCCAGAGCGCCACATCCACATCGGGTCACGAAGATAGGTGCGCTGCATTTCCCACCCGAACAAAACGAGAATGACATGGATGAAGGTGAATCGCTGCATTATCAATGCAGTGCTTCGTAGTGTGCACAAGATGCTTGACAACTTCGCACTGCTGCCACGCTTTAGAGTAGTTCAGTATTGCCAGCAACTCATATCGGGTCTTTGCTTACTATAAATTAGGCACAACCCAAAATAGACTTTTGCTCTTGTTTGAATTGACTAATGCCAGGAAGTTTAACCTCACCTATTTAAACCAAAAACGTATCTTCTATGTAT